GATTTCATCCAGTGGTCAGAGACTCTCTAGTTCAAGGCTACCCTGATCTACATTACCTCAAAAATCTAAAAATAAAATAAGCATCTTTATAAAACCAGAGTTGGGGTGGACACATCCAAGATTATGAGGATGATAACAGACCCAGTAGACAAAAACAGATGATTCTAGATACCTTCTACTTCTCTCTACATTGCTGAAGAGGTTCCATGGAGGAGGGTGAACTGGGTACAAGCTCATGCTGATGACCCTTGGATAGGCCTTTGAGAACTTGCCCTTTTCCCTTCAGTGTGCTATTGTGAGTAGGCTTAGATATTGTAGAAGGAATAGACCTTTGCTTTCTAAAGTGGCCCTGAAACCCCAAGACCCGAGACCTCAGTGCTGAAGATGATCTCGGATGAACTTCTTTCCAGGTCAAGGACAGACGCTGGAGTGGAAGTGAGCGTGTTGAGAGATGCCCTTGCTCCTTACTCTTAGGTCTTTCCTAGCTTTCCCTGGAAACTCTGATTCTGTGCTTCTGGGTGGGACCATGTGACCTGCCCCTGATGAGAACCCTGATTAGTCAACCTTGGGAAGCCCCAAACTTTTCAAGCTGCTCTCCTGTCACACGTCAGCTGTAAGACTTGACAAAAGTCACCGGGCATTGGACAACTCAGTAAGTCTGACCCTCTAGGTTCCCATCATCTCTCCCCCGGCCTCCCACTCCATCCTCCACCTTCATATCCTCTTTGATTCATCTTCCTCTCCCCTCCTCCTCTTCTCTAGAATGTGTAACCTCAGCTTCGTTCTGGGGAACCCACACAATCTCTAGACGTTGTAGACAGGAAGGAAGACATATAAGAAGGCAAAAAGCCAAGTTTGCTTCAGGCATTGATAAGGACGGGCAGAGTGTGTGATCCAGAAAGACTGAGGCGGGAGGGACTGAGTTGTAGTTAGTGGCTGGAAAGGAGGATGTCGGTGAAGAGACAGGAAGGGTGGTCTAATTGTAGAATCATGGGAGATCACATGGAGTGAGAAAGAAATGATAGAGTTTCCTTCTTTGTATTGACCACATTTATTATCTTTATCTAAACACACACACACACACACACACAGAGAGAGAGAGAGAGAGAGAGAGAGAGAGAGAGAGAGAGACAGAGACAGAGACAGAGACAGAGACTCTCAAGCATTCGGTTTCTACCAACCCCATACAGATTTCTTCAACCGTCTTTAATTCTCTGTGTCCCCTTTCCTTTCATGACCAGTATTCTAATTACACGTGTTAGCAATTCCTATTTCCCCTCAAGAGCACCTTGGCAATTTTCTTGTTTGCTTGTTTATCTAGGTAGCTGTCTTTGCTTTGGTATGCCTTCTGGTACATTTTCTTTCTTTTTAAAAGTTTTATTTTACTTTTTCTTTAAGTCTATGTGTCTATCCCTCTGTGTGTATGTGATTATGAGTGCAAGTCTCAAGGAAACCAGAAGAGGGCATCAAATCCCCTGGAGCTAGAGTTACGGACTGATATGAGCTGCCTTGTGGCCCTGGAATTAAACTCTTGTCCTTTTCAGGAATAGAAAGTGCTCTTAACTCTTGGGCCATCTCTTCAGACCTACCTTCAAGATCACTGATCGTTTCTTCTGCTGTTTTAGAGTCACCGTACACACTTTTGTTCTCAGTTATCAAATTTATCTTCTCAAGATGATCAAGTTGATACTATTTTACATTTTTCCTCATATTATAGTAACATATTCTATGTTTAAGTATATTTTTAACAGTGAATGGAGGTAGAAAAAATCATTCTGAGTAAAATCCAGACCCCAATTGACCAGTAACATAGTATGTATTCACCTATATATAGATGATAGCTTTTAGTTTCTGATAACCAAACTATAATTCATGTACCCACAGAGGTTAGCTAATAGAGTCAGTGACTAGGGGAGGAAAAGACTCCCCAAGGGAGAGGAAATTGAATATATAGTTAAGGAGAGACAGAGATGAGAGTGGTGGGCAGAGACTACAGTGGGATAATCAAATGGAGAGGAAGAGGGAAGAGGATATAAGTTAGAAATAAGTAAAAACTAAGGGTCAGTTGAAGGGTCACATGGACACCTGATACAATAGAAGCCTCTTAAAATATATACATGTAAGACAGAAGTCTAAATCAACTAACACCAACTAACAGGGGAAACAAAGCCCCAACTAGACATCTCTCACCATGAACTGAAGCCTCCAGCGCCAGAAATAGATTACATCTAATTGCGTTGTTGGCCAAAGGGGCCTGAAACGACTCAGGCTATTTCCAAGGTTATCGATCACTTCCATGGAGTGATGCTAAGGCCCTACCTAGAGCCTTCAACTCTATTGACTAGTGTTCATGATACTCAAAGGTACTCTGAATGCCACCAGAGGAGAAAGGTTATCTTGCAGGCAGGTCACCAACCCAGCTACAAACCTTTCAATCTACAGTGGTGACCTGCCTGTAAGATAAGCTGGTCTAACAGAGGCACAAAAGTTATGGAAGTAAGCAACAAACATCTGATTAGATTTAGGGTCCACTTGAGGAGATGGAACCCATGTCTGACACTTCAAGGTGGCCAAGAGCCTAAGAGTAGATGAGGACCTAGGGGAGAATCAACCCTGTCACCACTTACCTCAACCGACTTACCACTGTTCTGCTAAGTGAAGATACAAATAGTGACTCCTGGTGTCATTCTGCTAGCATGACATCATAGATCAATGCCTTGCTCAGCCATCATCAGAGAAGCCCCCTCTTACAGTAGATGGGGACAAATATAGAGACCCACAGCAGGAAAATGTGCAGAGAGCAAGAGACCTTGGGATACTCAGTCTCAGATACGATGAACCCTGCAGAAGAAGTAGGAATGATTGTAAGAGCCATGGGGATGGAAGACACCAGGGCTACAAGGCCTTCTAGTCACAAACAGGAGTGACACACATGAACCTTCAGAGACTATGGTAGCATGCCCAGGGCAGGGCCTGCATAGGTCTCATCCAGACAGGGTTCCATCCAGAACTGCGAAGGGAAAGTGGACACAAGCCCCCATCCCAGCTCGGAAGTTATCTCCAATGGACAACCACTGGCAAAATTGCCTCTTTACAGGCAATTAGTGTCAGCTGCTGTGTCCTGCTAACTACTCAGTTGGAATGCACAGCTAAGCTTGCCAGACCTCTCAACCCTCACCAACCCCAAAGCAAGACTGTGACAAAGACCTGAATTTTGTAAAGGTGATTTCCCCACCTGATGAGGCTCCCACAAGGCCACTGGCACAGGAACTGAATTGTGACTTTCTTCTATGTGACAGTAACATGTAGCCTGGTCCATGGTGGTGGATGTTGTTCAGGGTCACTTGGATTTGTCTTTTCCGACCATGGCTAAGGATGAGTGATATTGGTGCTTCCTCTAAAGCATAGGTTATTTTATACCAACAGTATTCTTGGAATATCTAGAGATTTTGGGTTGGATGTTGGATATTCCATCATTCTTTTGCTGTCTAGCTTTTGTTATCTTCCTTTACCGTCTACTGATAACCACTTTTAAACACAACTAAGTGACTTGAAGTTCTGCTTGGTCCTGTCAAGGCACGCTTTTGATCCCTAGGATTAGTCTAGTGTGACTCTAAACGTAAATTAGTTCAGTTCCAAAGGCAAGATGTGACATCTCTCAGCTTCCCACGGGGCTCTCCACCTTGGATGGATTTTCCATGTCTCGCTGGTTCTATACGTTTTCATCTGTTTACTCTGGGGGGTGAGTGTGTCTGTTTATGTCGATCTATACGGCCAATCTCCATCCCTCTGTTTTGGACAAAAGCGCAACCCAAACTTCACACATGCACTTCCTGTAACACTGGAACTTCAATGGAGCCAGAGAGTTTTCATCACTCTGGCCCGGAGCTCTTCCTGCCCATTTCCAGTCATCACCACTCCTCAGAGGCAAGCTGTTCATTTAACTCAATTTTAATTCAGTCACCTGTTCAACAAGCACTCACAGAATACTTAGTGTTGGCCAAACAGTCGGTATGCAGGGAAGACAAGACAGGCAAGAGCCCTGACTCATGCGGTGTCCAATACCCCACATAGATGTGAAATCACAACAGTGGCAATTGTTTTGCCAACAGGCTGAAGGTGACATAGAAACATCTACAGAGAGCCATTTTTCTCCTATAGGTCATCAAAGACAGCTTCTTTGAGTCAGTGGTGTGACGCAGGATCTAAACAACAAATTGGAGTTCACTGGGAGAAAAATTGGAAGAAACATACTCTGGGAATAGGATCCAAGCAAAATCAAAGTGATTATCCTAAAATAGAATTCAAGGAATCAAGATTCAGGGCTATGTGATGGTGATGGTGTTGAAGAGGCCCCATTTTGGCAGTTGAAAGACAGGTCAGAGGATTGGGGGTCTAGCAAGACTCTTTTGGGAGACAGAACCACCCAACAAGAGTTATAGCAAAACCTTGCCCACATCTGTATCAGTGCCATCACCAGTCTACCTGACAGTCAACGCTTCCTCATTCTTCATGTCTTAACTTGAGGTAAATTGACCAGACTGGTGATGGATGACACTGAGAATGAGGAAGAGGCAGTGCAAAGATGGTCCTGAGGCTTGGGTAGCCTGGTGGACGGGTACCACTGATGCAGATGCTGATAAAGGTTCGTCTGCAACTCTCGTCAGGAAGCTGACTGGGAAAGTTGATTCCAGTTTGGTCTCCTGAGCTACAACTGGCTTGTAGCATCAGGAGGCACTGGCAGATGGGCAGCTAGCAATGCAGGAGCTCGGAGGGAAGGGACCTGGCTGGAGATGAAAAGTGCTCATTTGCGTCCCTTCCTAATGAAGCTGTGGGTGTGGTGAGACCTGTGGGTGAGAGGTGAGAGCCACCAGCCAGCTGCTGAGGCCTGCTGGCTTATAAGAATGAGCTGGAGGACAGGACCCCATCAAGGGGAGGAGGAAAAGGAGGAGGAGCATGGGTTTGAACAAAATCCAGCTGCCTAAGGGCTGAGTGGAACAGGAGCTGAGGTCGCCGTTGTTGTCCTACAGGGAAGGCAGGTGAGGTGAATACTCAGACATATTCAATAGCTTTACAACATCTGGGTCTGGTTTCTGTGGTTAGAAGCCAGACTGTAAGCTAAAAATAATGACGGATCAGGGTTAGGGACACTTGCGGATGGACAAGGTGACAGCAGAATGGATGAAAGGAGGGAGGTGGTTTTGATCGTGGGTTCGTTGTTATGGCTACGCTCAAACTTGCTTAAAGCCAATATCCAAGCTTGGGGGTGGGGGGGGGAGAGAGTTTTGAGAACAGAAGATGGAACTGGAGGTTCTAGGATGGTGACAAGGCAGATGGAGAGAAAGCTTCCTCTCCCATAGGAGACTGAAGATGGTCATTGTCTAAGGGTTTGTCTGTGATGTGAGGTGGGAAGAAAGGCTGGCTGAGGGTGATCACATATGTTTTCATGTGTGTGTGTGTGTGTGTGTGTGTGTGTGTGTGTAATGGGTAATGGCTGTATGTGTCCTATGTCTGAGTGCAGGTCTATGAGATGTCTTCCTGCAGTCAGTAGGAAATGGATGTCTAGTTGACCAGTCAGTTGGCCCTGGATGGAGGCAACATCCCCCGGTATGCTGGACAAAGACGAGGCACATGAATGGGCTCTACCAGGCTGAGAGCCACCAGGCTGGGGCATCCTACACAAGCTGGGTCATCGGGTGGGGAAGGGTCTGGTTGGATGGAATGTTCTGTACCCAAGCAGGGTCAGGAGCTACCTTAGGCTGAGAATTGTGATAGGAGAACAGAGTAGCTGGACACCTGCAGGTGAGTGGGCACAGTGGGAAAAAGGCGTACATGACGGGAGCTTGGCTGTCTCTCCTATGCTCTGAGGGGGCTCTGAGGAACTAGGAGTGACATGGCAGCTTTGTATGAGGAAGCTACCCTGTCAGTAGTGTGACGAGTGACAGGGGGAGCAGGCATTTGGGTAATAGCCCTGAGAGACAATAGAGGGAGGGGTAAAAGCCAGGCTAATGGGAGGGATGGGCCCCCACGGGGCAAGCCCAGGAAAGACAGGGTCCCTGTCACCCCAACAGGTGGAGCCCACTGACAGGGTGTGGTGTGCACACAGGGCTGTGCTACAACAGAGCAGCGGGGAGGGCTTGGTAGGCCTAGGAGAGAGACAAGAGTTGGGACTGCCCTGGGAATGCTGGAGTTGTCCTCTGGATGAGTGAAGAGGGAGTGGGACTGGATTTGAAAGTTGACCGAATGAGCCTTGGCGGGAGATGTTTTCAGAGACTATGATGCTCCAGGGTCTTGGGGGAACTCCAAGCTTTTCAGGAAGAGTCTCTGGACTTCCTTCCTCTGAGCTCCTACACCACGAAGCAGCTTGCCTGAGGGCAGGGGGCAGAGACAGCCTCTTCCCATGTCTACAGCCGATACTCTCTTTCTTTAGCTTCGTCCCCTCCCGAATGGTTATCAATAGTGAGGGACAGTCGCCACCTTCTTTGTCGCTTCCAAGTACAAAGCAAGAAGAAGCTACTTCAAGTCCCTGGACCTGATATATCACTGAGCGCTATGCAGACACCCTCTCACTTTTCATCAGAGCCCCCTCTGTGTCAGATAAGGGACAGTGGGGTGATGGTGAGGTGAATTGGTATTGCTGGGCAAGAGAATGGCAAGAGGCTAGTGGGAGGAACCTCACAGTCGATGGTGATTGCTGTCAAGTTCTGACGGACAGATGGACAGCAGTGAGCATCAGGACTGAAGGCAGAGGGCAAGGTCAACCATTGGATGGTGTTTGCCTACACTGCCAAGAGGCCATGAATGCAGAGATGGTTGGGATTCTGGGGAATGTTCCATTGAAAGGCACACAGTCAGAGAGAGAGAGGCAGAGAGAGAGAGACAGAGAAGGGGGGAGGGAGGGAGAGAGGGAGAAAGAAAGGGAGTCTTCAAGACAATTCAGGAGAGAAAAAGAGAAGAGAGAAAAGAGTGGGGACTGGCGCTCAGGTTGGCTGTTCTCAGCTTGGCTGGCACGCTATAGTGTGCTCTCTGGGATGCGAGAGACAAAATTCTCATGGTCATCCTGAGCTCAGCACAGAGTAGATTGATAAAAACCCAGGAAGTGAGGCTTAGAGATATCCCCGGTTCCAGACAGGCCTATGCAAAGCTACAAAGCCAAATTAGAAGTTTGTAAAAGGATTCTCCATGTACACCTTGTAAGTTTCATCACATCAGATGCTGTGGAAACTGGCTGTCCCACGAGGCCAGGTACAGCACAGACCAGGAACTGTGTGGAGATCTTTGTAACTGTGAGCACAGGGGCTTCTATCGTCTCCCTTCCCCACATCTGATGAAATAATTGTCCCACTTGTTGGCTACATGCTTGCTTCATGGGTGAAGTCTTTCCTTCTCAGTCAGAAGTGAAATGTAAAATTGTCCTCATGACAAGAATAAGTGGCAGTTGTTCACACTGGAAGTGACCAGAGAGCCAAGCTTGACAGAGTAAGGGGTTTGTAGAGGGATGGTGGAGGGAAGGTTATCTAGAGCATAGAGAAGAGGATATGAAATGAGGAGAATGTTCTAGAGAAGTTTTCAAAGCTCATGACTTTCTGGGACACATGCTGTTTTCTTTTGCCTTTTGCCTTGGCCCAGATCCCTTTCAGCCCACTGTCTTCGCCCTTCACAGAATCTCAGAGTCAGGACACAGAGCCAGAGCACCTCTAGACAAGTATGTTCGAGCAGAAATCTTGCAGATGGTGTAGGGGTGATATGGGAACTGGACAGGGTTGGGAAGCCTAGAATAATGGCTACACAAAATTGTCTCTATCAAATTGTCTACACCAATGAAAGCAGTGGCAGCAGTGGAAGCCGTGTACTGAGTACCTACTGGACCACTCTCAACTGGTCAGCTGTGTAAGCTGGACTCCTGTTTACAAAAACAAAACTGAGGACCGATTCTTTGAGGGACAGGGACAGATTCCTTGCTCATGACGAGTGTCAGAGCTGATGTAGACCCAGCCCTGTTCTACTGGAGTTTCCTACTACCGTTCAGCCATGTAGTCTTGTTGAAAGAGAAGATGGCAGCAGATCAAGTTGTTTTTTTTTTATATCTCGTGTGTGTGTGTGTGTGTGTGTGTGTGTTCCCGTGCAGGGGAAGGTCAGAGGACAATCCTGAATGTCACCACATGAGTAGTGCCATCCGCCTTACTTTTGAAACAGTGTCTCTTGCTGGTACTGAGCCCATCAAGAAGGGAAGACTGGCTGATGAGCACATCCTAGGGTAGGTCGCATCAACACGCCAGGCTTTTTAAGCCTAGGCTCTGGGGATCAAACTCAGCTCCTCCTGTTTGCAAGACAAACACTTTACTGACCAAGCCCTAGGTTTGCAGGTCTTTACCTGCTTTATTTATAATAGAAGAATTAGGCAGCAGGCTGGGATCAGAAGCCATTCAGAGTTCTATAGCTACAAGTCCTGGCGGCACCTACCTGTAATCTCAGCAGTGGGAAGGTGGAGGCAGGGGGATTGCTATGAACTCCAGGCCAGCTTGAGCTCCATAGTCCAGATTCTGTCTCAAAATAAGGGAGGGGATGGAAGGAAAAGAGAGGGAGAGGAAGGGATTGAAGAGATGGGAAACACAGAACAGACAGCTGGTTTTGGAAGTGTGAGCTTCCTGATGTTTTGAGCAGCTGGCTCCAGCAGGGGCTGCCCACTCCCCCTGCCCCAAGCCTTGACTAGAAAGACCTTAGAGAGTAAGGAGTCGGGGGGTGGGGTGGGGGAGGGGCTGGTCAAAGTGTTAAAGTGAATTAAATTTGGCCTATATATGTTTTTCCATACAGAATGAACTGTAACCCAACTTCTTATGTAAACAGACTGCGACCTATGAGGTGTGGCCAACCACAGATGGCCAACTATTCAAAACACTGTCAGAGAAGGTGATCACAAGCCAGTTAGGCTGCCCCCAGCTCACTCGTACTTTCCACAGGTCACCTGTTGTCACTGGGAATTAAACCTGTCCATGTCCTTTATTTATTGTAGTGTTTGCCTTCTTAGTCTCCATGTGTAGCCAGCCAGGTATGAACTCATAATCCGTAGCACCTCCACCCAACCCCAGTTCTGGGGTACAGGCCAATCCTATCACACATGCCTGTTTTTTTTTTTTTCAGACAGAGTCTAACTATATAGCTTTGGCTGGCCTGGAACTTGCTGTGTAGACCAGGTTAGCCTCAGCTTCAGAGATCCACTTGCTTCTGCCTAGCTCCTGGGTGCTGAAACTACAAGCTGGCCTTCTGTCTTTTGGGGAAAACAAGGTGTCATGTAGTTGAGGATAGCCTTGAATTTCTGACCTTCCTACTTCTATCTTCCAGCAATGCTTGGATTGCAGGGGTTTGTCCACCATGCCCAGCTCAAGTGGTTCTGGGATGGAACCCTAAGGCTTACTGCAGGTTAGGTAAACATTCCTCGAACTGCACTGCAGCCCCGTGCCCTGGTTTCCATGTTTTCAGAGGCACGTATACAATGGAAATGCATGTGACTGGGCATAGATGGGTAGCTCTGTCCTGTCCCCACAGAAGGTACAGGAATATTTAGAGGCATATTTAGGGCTGGAAGTTACTTCTGACTTTGAGGATCAGGATTCTGGTCCTCATGATGGCAAGGCAACACACTTTCACTTTCTTTGTAGTTTAAAGCATAGATGGAGGAAATCAGAAATCATAAAAAAGCCTGGGGGTCAGAAAGGAGCCCTGTCTGGTATCCCAGTTAGCATACAGCCTCACCTGTGACCTGAGCCAAGTTATACAACCACATCCTCATGAGAACTTGTTGCTCATTGTAGGATCAAAACCTCCACACTACGGACTTTGCAGAGTTTCTGTGAGGCTCCAGGGGGACTCCATAGCAGAATGGGAGGTCCCACCTGAGCATTGAGCTTACCTCCCCACAGTGGGTCCCTTCTGTTTTACAGACTCCCTTCCTTCCAAATGGGCTCGTCCTTTTACCGAGTTCTCCTATTGGTTGGTTTCTGTGCTCCAATGTTCTGCGTGTCGTCATCCAATCCCTACAACCGTGAGTCCCCTCACCCTCCCTCCATGAAGAGCAACCCAGCCTCCCAGGTGTCTCCTAGCAACACCAAGTTCGCCTTCCTCCTGTACCAGAGGCTGGCTCAGGAAAGCCCAGGTCAGAATATCCTCTTTTCTCCTGTGAGTATCTCCACTTCTCTGGCCATGCTGTCCCTGGGGGGCCGCTCGGCCACCAAGACGCAGATCCTCCGGAGTCTTGGCTTCAACCTCACAATCATGCGGGAGCCCACTATCCACCTGGGCTTCGAGCATCTGGTCCGCTCGCTGAACGAGTGCCACAGAGGCCGGGACTTGAGGATGGGCAGTGTCCTCTTCATCAGGAAGGAGCTGCAGCTGCAGGCCAAGTTTCTGGACAGGGTCAAGAAGCTTTATGGGACAAAAGTATTTTCTGAAGACTTCTCAAATGCTGTCGCTGCCCAGGCCCAGATCAACAGTTACGTGGAGAGGGAGACCAAAGGGAAGGTGGTGGATGTTATCCAAGATCTTGACTCTCAGACAGCCATGGTCCTGGTCAACCACATCTTCTTTAAAGGTGAGGCTGATTTACTCTTTTCTTTCTTTCCTTCATTTCTCTTTTCTGTTTTCCTTTCCTTCCCTTTTTATGTACTTGGATGTTTGTTTGTTTGTTTGTTTGTTTGTTGAGTTGGTCTTACGTATTTCAAGACAGCCTCCATCAAGCTATGGAGCTGAGAGTGACCTTGAACTTCTGATTCTCCTGCCTCCATCTCCTTAGAGCTGGGATTATAAGTGTGTTCACCAAACCCCATTGATGCAGTGGAGACTGAACCCAGTGCTTTGTGCCAGCCACACACACAACAGAGGCATGACCCTAGCCCATCCCTAATTCACATTTCTTTTCCTTTTGGTGTTGTGTAGTCAAGGAAACAGGTGTGTACAACAAGGTCTAGACAGCAGGGTGTGACAAGGTCTAGACATCAGCTTTGCAAGTAGCTGCCTGTACATTCTGTCTTCTGTTCCCTCTCTCTAGCTTCCACTCATTAATTAATATGGGGCCTCATTTATCTCTGTGTTAGCATGAAACAAGGGGCTGTCCTAAAGAAGCTGTGCTCAGCAACAAGGGCCCCAACATGTCCTCTGGAACTCTAGAGGAACAAAGAGCTTGTGTTTTGGCACCAACGATTGTCATACTACTCCCTGGACACCTCACAGCCGTGACACACTGGGCCCTGTCTGGGGCCAGTTTAAAAACCCAGTGGTGAGAACAGTTTCAGAGGTTTGGAAGTGTAGACAAGCTGGTCTGTCACTCATATCTGTCTAGAACATCACGGTTTACAAAGCCACTGTTATGAATGACACTGCCCTGAAGCTGAATGAGCATCAGCTCTGAAGGCACACGACCCTGAGTCTGGGCTCTCCCTCTGCCCCTTTCTTGTTCCACCGTCCTAAGTGAGACTCTGAAAAATACCTGCCGAGGGCTAAGTGCCCACTCTGTGCCGGTCTCTGCCTCTTGGCTGGGCGATCGCTAAGCACACGCAGCCTCACAGGACCATGGCTGCAGTTGAGTGCCTGGGCTTCAGAGCTGTGTGTGCCGCTGTACCATGGTTCCTTCCTTTCCTCCATCCTCTCATTTACCCAACCCCCGTTTCCTATTAACCAATCCAGTCCAGCCATTTGTCTAGCCATCCACCCACACATCCTCCAAACACAACAAGAGGGCCAAAAAAACTGGCCTGCTTTCCTTCGTTGGTGAGATACCTTCATTTGCTATAGATTATCTTATTTGATTTATTTCTAGTGAAAGGTCATGTGCACAGCTTATGACCATTTTAAAGTGTCTAAGTCAGGGTCTTCAGTTGCTGGCATCTTCACCAAGGCTGCACTGCATGAAATATAGACACGATGGTGACTGTTACTCATATCTGTCTAGAGCAGAGGTTTTTAACCTCTGGGTCACTACCTCTTTGGGGGCCAAACGACCCTTTCATGGGAGTTGTGTTTTAGATATCCTGCATATCAGTTACCTACACTATGCTTCATAACAGTAGCAAAGTTGTAGTTATGAAGTAGCAGTGAAATAACTTTGAGGTCAGGAATCACCACAACTGAAGTACGGCATTACAGGATAGCAGAATTAGGAAGGTTGAGAACCACTGGGTTAACCCTTTGCTGTTTACAGGAACAGCGTGTTAAAGGACACTGTTCTGAAGTTGACCGGGCATCTGCTTTGAAGACAGATTTCAGTGGCTTTCTATAATTCCACAGTTCATTTTCCTCCTCAGAAGGAAGATCCTATCTCCTCAAGAAAATGAGCTGCCTCCCTCAACTCCTGCTCTTCCCCACTGGAGACCAATAATCTGCTCTGTGCCTCTGCAACCTGCCTATTTTAGACACTTCACATGTCTATGACATTTGAAATAGGACCCCAGGCCACGTCATCTCCAGCTTATGTGTGTAACTTAGGTTCATCCACGCTGTCTAACATTTAACAGAAGTCAGTCTTTTCTTTCCAGTTTCTCTTTCCTGTACTTTCCCTTTCTTTTCTATTCTTTGCTTTCGTTGCTGACTGCTAATTTGACACTGTGAACAGAAGACGGACATTGCTCCTGCAAGGCTTGGATCCAGACACGTGAGCTAGCTCCCAGCTCTCATCCATAATAGCTGAAAAATACTGTCATCTGGACTGGCAGTATTCTGTGTGTCAGATGCTGGGTATGCAGGCAGATCCTACTTCAGGCTACTGTGAGTACCTTACTGTGACATTAGTGAACACTCATTTTGTGTGGATGCTGTTCTGAGGCTTTCAAGTGTGCACCCAGGGGAGAGCCTGCTTGGTCATATGGTAGTTCCATTCTCAACTTTAAGAAGCTGGGAACTGTTTCTGCAGAGCCTACGCCAACAGTGGCTCAGGGATCCAGTCTTTTTCATAGCCTCACGGCTATTGGCTTTCTTTTCTAAATTTTAGTTTATTTATTTAGTATGTGCATAAGTGCATGTGCATGCATGTATGCACATGTGCATGTACATGTGCCTGCCTGCATGCGTGCGCGTGCGCGTGCGCGTGCGCGTGCGCGTGCGCGTGCGCGTGCGCGTGCGCGTGCGTGTGCGTGTGCGTGTGTGTGTGTGTGAAGACAACATGCAGGAGTAGTTCTCTTCTTCCATCACCAGGGATTGAATTCATGTTAGGCTTGGCCGGAAGCACCTTTATCTGCTGAGCCATCTCACCAGCCCTAGTATTTCTTATTATCCATCTTTTTGATGACAGCCATGGTGCTGGGCGGCTGTAACTCATTATGGTTTCGCTCTGCATTCCCTAATGACTAATGGTATTTGCCTTCTTTCCTAAGCTTATTGGCTCTGTAAACAGTCTATCTCTGGCCATTAACATTTTAAGCTGGTTCTTTCCATCTCAGCTTTCAGTTGCTGAATGTATTCGTATGGAAGATAGGATACACTTCACTAATAGTATCTGTATCTCCTCTGTGCTTTTCTCCCTCGGTGACTACAAAGTGCCATTTTTCTGATGAAGTATTTTCGAGTTTACATTTTTCCAGCTTTTAATTCATTTTTCTTTCAGTCTCACTTTACTTTCCTAGGGTTGACCTGGGGAATGCAATTGGCATGTAATTATAATGTAGCCTGTCTTAATAACAGTCATCATTCCAATAGTTATAAACATTTTTTTTAGTGCTTATTTTTCCTCCATCCCTTTGATATCATTTTAAATCATACTGCTACACATGTGTGCCCACCAATATAGATTTATTATGATCATTTTATTTTGTTTTAAAAGGAATTTGTTTTATGTTATGTGAATGAGTTTCTGTATGTATGTGCACCACATGTGTGCTGTGCCTATGGAATACAGAAGGGGGTGCCATATCCCCCAAAACTGTAGTTATATTTAGTCATGAGCTGTCATGTAGGTGCTGGGAACGGAACCTGGGTCCTCTGCAAGAGCAATCAGTGTTCTCAACAGGCGAGCCATCCCTCCAGCCTGGTCATCACATTATGAGCTGCCTTTCTAGAGAGGACAACATAACAGGAAAACCTATGCTCTCCTGTTTGTCTAGATTTTTTTTTCTTTATTTAGGGACAGTATCTCACTCTATAGTCAATAATTTGCCTTCTCCATCAAGCTGGACTTGAACTTAGAACAAGCTCTCTGCTTCTGCCCCCAAGTGCTTGAATTCTAGGTGTGTACCACTACACCCATCTCCAAAACACTCACACCATCTCCCATGTTTGAGCATAATTTCCTTTGCTGGTGTGGATCTATGTCACTATCCCACCCCAACCACAGAGGCCTCTAGCACTGGCAAAAGCTTGCTTGCTTTGATTTTCTTCTACTATTGTTCAAGCTTTGTATTTTCTGATAAACATGTTTCATGTTATTGAGGTCATCTCGAATGTGAGATTTCCTCTTTGCCTTCTGACTGATTATGTTATATCTAAGTATAAAATTGTTAACTCTGTTGGAAGATTTCTATAAACCAAGTTTTGGGAGCCTCTGAATGTTATTTCTTCCTGTAGCCACCCACTCCCTTTTCTATCTCTCTCCTCCTTTTGGGAGTCCAGTGATGCGTGTATTGCTCTGCTTGAGGGTGTATCCCAGCTTTCTATATTCCTCCATCTTTGCCTCGGTACTCCTCACACTACAGACTTACTGATACATCCTCTAGCTCAGTGCTTATTATTTTCTGTTAGTTCTCATTTGCTGTCAAGTCTCTCTAGTGAAACTTTCATTTCTGTTACCATATCTTCCAATTCTACGCGATGACTTTGAATCACTACTCTAATTACAAGCAGATGCTTTTTAAATACAGTTTTATAAAAAAGCTTTTTGAGTGTGTTCAAAATAGCTGCTTTGACAGGTTTAATTAATAATAAACATGTCTGGTTCCCCTTAGGAATGCATGCTCCCAACTCCCTAAAGTTTGGGACCTATTTCCTTGTTTCTTTTCATATCTCATTTTTTGTTTTTTTTTTAAACATCTAAATATTTATTTTAATTGTGTGTATCCACATGTGTGTCATGTGATGAGTATTTAGACACACTTGTGGTTGTCTACAGAGTCCAGAAGAGGACATCAGATGCCCCGGAACTGGAGATACAGGTATTTGTAATCTGGGAGCCGATCTGTGTCCTCTGTAAGATCAGCACACGTTCCTAACCTCAGAACCATCTCTAGCCTCTTTGTATGTTTTCAGCCCAACAATGTTAATAATGTAAATCAATTCTAAACGTGAACTACTTCCCATCCAGAGGGTTAGTCGCTGTTGTTCCTTGTAACAACCTGTAGCTTCCTGTTTCTTCCGAATGGATTTGCAGAACGATTTGCCATGCACACTTGGCTCGGCAGTCTGTAATTTTGACTCATCCTTTATTTTCTGTCTGTGCCCCCCAGGCTTGCAGACAGCGAGAGCTCTGAATCACCCAGATAGTTCCCAAACTGCCTACAGACGTCTGGGGTGTCTTTGCGTTTGAAATAGGTGGGAGGTTTCCAAATCTCCTGTAAACACTTGATTCTTTAGAAGTGTTTGTTTATCTCTCTGTTCATCTTATCTCTTCTCCATCCTCCAGACAGCCGGGAAGTGAGGACTCTTGTCTGTAATTGAATATGAAATGAAATGCACTCCTATACCTCTAGGGAGAAGGCATTAGGCACCAAGTGTGCCTCCATTATTGGTTGTGTGAGTGGAGGCTCCCCATTAAGATTTGGCCATTTGCCTTGAATGACCCTTCCTGGTCACCACGGCTGACTGGAACCATGTTTAGGGAAGGGTGGACACGCAGAAGGACTTGCTTTGTCATTTTTGCTGACAGAACCTCCCTCCTCTCTTCTCAGTTTGTTTCTTACTAAGCTTTGCGGTTAGTGACTTATTTGTCTTGACTGTTATGTACTGCTGGAGGTGTTTCAGAGTTCCGCCTGCCACTGTCTTGGCAAATGTCCTCGGGGAGATGATATTTGCCTTGGCTGAACTCCAAGTCAGATTAAATATGGATGGCTTTTATAAGTCATTCTTTTGGTATTGCAGGAGGCAGGTCAGATAAAGACAATTCTTAGAGAACGAGTCTAGGGCTGTTATTGTTTTGAGATGTTTTCTCTGTGTAGCCTGAGATAGCTTAAAACTCACAATCTTCCAGCCTCCCGTGTTCAAGGGGTTGCGAGTGTGAGCCACTATGTACCACCCGAGAATGAGTCTTTAGGGTATTCCAGCCCCATTTTGATTTCACTGTAAATGTGGGCTGTTCTTTTTCAAGACCACAGAGAATGAAGGATGGGATGTGGTACTGGAGCCTATCAGAATGCCACAAACTTTACCACTTCTAGCACAACACAGTTTATTTTCTTTAATAATTTGTTTCTCCGCTATAAGCATCTGAGGATTTTTCAGAGTTCTAAAGGAACTGACTTTGACCACTGTTGGCAGATGTGTGTAGTATCAGATACTGTGTGTGTGTGTGTGTGTGTGTGTGTGTGTGTTGTAGTACTAGATAAATGGAGTGTATGTATTTATGTGTATGCAAGTATAGTGTATGGTGCATGTGTGCATATATGGTATAATATTGTATATGTGCAAGTGTATATTGTCTGTAGGGTGTAAATAGTGTATGGTGTGTGTGTGTGAAAGTACATGTAGGAGGGGGAATATATGGCTTGTGTGGTATATTTGGGTGAGGATGCAAGTGCATACATGGTATGTGGGGTGTATTTACGTGTTTGTGTGTGCAAGTGGTCTATGTGTGTGGTATGTATATGTTTGTAGTGTATGATATGTGTGTTATGTATATGTGTGGTATATATGATGCATGTGTTTGTCTCTCTATACAAGTAGTGTATTGTATGATGTGTGAACATGTGTTATATATACATTTATACATATATATGTGTGTGTGTGTTTGTGTATCTGTGTGTGTGTGTGTGGTATAGGGTGTGTGTAGGGTATAGTGTGTGTGTGAAGGGGATGTGTGTGGTGTATGTGTGTTATATGTATGTGTGTATGTGAGCTATATATTGTATTATAAGTGTGTGTTGTGTGGTGCGTGTGTATGGTATGGTATGGTATGTGTGGTAAGTGTATGTGTATACATGAGTGTGTTTGGGATCAAAGTCTGGGCCTTGCAATGCTAGTTATGGCTTGTGTGGTATGTTTGGGTGGGGATGCAAGTGCATACATGGTATGTTTTGATGGAAAATTGAGTTTTTAGAGGTCCTCATCTGCCTGTTTTTACCTGGCAGGTTTCAGGGACATAAAGTCTCCTCTTCTTCACATTGACTTAAGCTCTCTCTTCTTTTGCACTGATGTGAGCCCTCCCTTCTTTTGCACTGATGTAAGCCCTCCCTTCTTTTGCACTGATGTGAGCCCTCCCTTCTTTTGCACTGATGTGAGCCCTCCCTTCTTTTGCACTGATGTAAACCCTCTCCTTTTTCTCTACGAAAGCCAACTGGACCCAGCCCTTTAGTGTTGCAAACACAAACAAGAGCTTCCCATTCCTTCTGAGCAAGGGCACCACCGTGCACGTTCCCATGATGCACCAGACTGAGTTGTTTGCTTTTGGAGTGGACAGAGAGCTGGGCTGCTCCGTTCTGCAGATGGACTACAGAGGAGATGCCGTGGCCTTCTTTGTCCTCCCTGGCAAGGGCAAGATGCGGCAGCTGGAGAAGAGTCTGTCCGCCGGGAGACTGAGAAAGTGGAGCCGCTCACTCCAGAAAAGGTGAGCATGACTGTCAGCTTGCAGGGAGCTGTTCATCTGAGGATGGAGAGTGTGGTGGTAGCTATGCAGTGATAACTCCTGGGAACCACGCCTCCTCTGCCTGCCGGACAGTGATGCTGGTACTGTGTCCACACAGTACCACACGAACGTCACTGTCACCTGGTATACAAACATTTCCTCATCCTCTCCTTCCATCTTCCCAGATGGAAACAGACTCCTTGAGGGTAAGTGGAGGTACTGTTTACTTTCTGTCACTGGGACAAAGCACCATGACCAAAGGCAACTTAAGGAGGAAAAAATTTACTTTGACTTACACATTCAGAGGATGAGAGTCCATCGTGGTGTGGAGCGTAGGCTCAAAGTGGTAGACGTGGTGACAGGAACAGGAAGCTGCGGGATAACACCTTTCACTGCAAGCATGACGCAGAGAGTGAACCAGGAAGTGGGTAAAGCTGCAAACATTTGAAGTCCACCCCAGTGAAATACTTCCTCGAGCAAGGCTGTACTTGTCATAACCTCTCCAAGTGCCGCCACCAACTGGGGACCGAGTGTTCTGATGCCTGAGCCTGTGGGAGACATTTCTCATTCAAACCGCCACAGTGACTCATGCAAGGCTGCACACACAAAGATTTTAAGTCTACACAGAGTTTACTCCAGAAACCAAGTCATACTAAATTCCATGGAGCTATTTTTATAAAAGCAAACAAGCAAACCAACCAAAGTCTTGGTGCTCACTTGTAGACAGAGGAGGATAGTGCTGCTGAGTCACTGAAGGTAGAAGTTGCTGTGTCACTGAAGGTAGAGGTTGCTGAGTCACTGAAGGTAGAGGTTGCTG